TCCCAGGTCACCATCAGCAGCGAGATATCTTCCAGGATGAACTCCTGTGGAAAGTGTGGGGACAGCATTCAGTATAGTGGCCCCTGCAGCTGTTGGCGCGCCCCAAGTTACAGAAACCCAGAGGACAGTACAGCCATGAAACAATCAGTCACGCTTGACCCTGTGCACCATTTTGGGGCTCCCGTGGGTTGTGCATGCTTGCTTTGGGATGGGCAAATTATGCTATTGTGTAGACTGTGCTTGCCCTTAAGTACAGGGGAATCATTGCTCTGTCTGATGTGAACAATGCTGCCTCTGTTAAGTGTTGCATTTTGCCTTTACAGATGCAACCTAGAGATCTCAGCCGTCCGTGTTATCACTGGCCGAAAGACTCCAAAGAATCAGAAAGAGGCCACGTAGAAGCAAGGAAGACATGTTGCATGAAGTAATGCAGCATTCAAGTAATGAAAATCAAAAAGTGCAGGAGTGTGGGACAGTGAAAGGAGGATCTGCCAGCAGAATGTGAAGCGCGGGCACAAAAGCGCGGTGCTCTGGCAGCAAAGCATGGATCGGCTGATAAGCATAATGGAGCGCCAAGTGGACTCTATTCAGGCGCTCGTAGCCATGCAGGCAGAGCACTACTGTGGCCCCCCCCCCCGCAACCCTTGTCCCAAAACTCTTTCCCTTGTGCCCCCATGTCACCTCCAACCCACTTTCCCCAACATCCGGGTTCTTACCGCCACCAGCTGCATCCAACACCTGTAGCTTCACCACCCAGCCCTGAAAACTACGACCCTTACCCACTTCACTCAACCCCCATCACCATGCAGTATAGCCATCCTGAAGTGCAGCACTCATTGCACAGCACTCTAGACAGGAAGGCTGAGTATGATAAGAGGACATACGCAAATCTGTGATTGTACTGTTCCCCACCCCACCCCTTTGCCCTTTCTGTTTCCCAAGCAGTTGTGTTTCTTTTCAATAAATGGATTTTTTGGCTTTGAAAACATTCTTTATTATTGCATAAAGTAAAAGATACCTTAGCCCAGGAAAGAAACAGACACTGCAAGTCAGCGTAGCAACCAGAGATTCCTACTAACATTGGAACCACTGCACTTCACTCTCATGCAGGGCACCAGACATTACTGGTGGCTTTCAGTCTCAAATTGCTCCCTCAAGGCATCCCTAATCCTTGCAGCCCCGCGCTGGGCCCCTCTAATAGCCCTGCTCTCTGGCTGTTCAAATTCAGCCTCCAGGTGTTGAACCTCCGAGTTCCATGTCTGAGTGAATCGTACACCCTTCCCTTCACAAATGTTATGGAGGGGATATAACTGCAGGGATGCTGTCATCGGCCAGGTCCAGCTTCCCATACAAAGAGCGCCAGCGGTCCTTTAAAGGGCCAAAAGCACACTGCACAGTAATTCTGTACCTGCTCAGCTTTTTGTTGAACCACTCCTTGCTGTCAAGGTTCCCTGTGTAGGGTCTCATGAGCCACAGCATTAAAGGATAAGCGGGGTCTCCAAGGATCACAATGGGCATTTCAGCTTCCCCTACTGTGATCTTCTGGTCTGGGAAAAAAGTCCCGGCTTACAGCTTCCTGAACAGGCCAATGTTCCGAAAGATGTGTGCATCATGCACCTTTCTGGGCCAGCCTGCGTTAATGTCAAACGCACAAGGGATCCACAAGTGCCTGGAGAACCATAGAGAAATATCCCTTCTGATTAACATACTCGGAGGCTAGGTGGGCTGGTGCCAGAATTGGAATATGCGTGCCATCTATCGCCCCTCCGCAGTTAGGGAAACCCTTAGTGTAAAGCCAGCCACAATGTCATGCACATTACCCAGAGTCAGAGTTCTTCTGAGCAGGATGCGATTAATGGCCCTGCAAACTTGCATCAACACGATTCCAACGGTCGACTTTCCCACTCCAAACTGCTTAGCAGATGATCAGTAGCTGTCTGGAATTGCCACCTTCCAGATTGCAAGCCACCTGCTTCTCCACTGTCAGGGCAGCTCTCAATCTTGTGTCCTTGCGCTGCAGGGTGAGGGCAAGCTCATCACACACTCCCATGAAAGTGGCTTTTCTCATCCAAAAGTTCTGCAGCCACTGCTCATCATCCCAGACTTGCAAGACAATGTGATCCCACCACTCAGTGCTTGTTTCCCGAGCCCAAAAGCAGCGTCCCACGGTGGTGAGCATGTCCGTGAATGCCACAAGCAAACTTGTGTCGTATGCGTTACTCAAGTCTATATCATCTTCAGAGCCCTCACTGTCAATTTGGATCATTTGGATCATAAGGAATAACTCAACTGCCAAACGTGATGTGCTGGTGAGACTCGTCAGCATACTCCTCAACAGTTTGGGCTCCATTCCTGCAGACCGAAAGGGAAGACAGAGTGCGCAGGACAAAAAACGTTGAAAGATGGCGCCAGATGTGGACGGAAGCACAGGGATTGCTAGGATACGAACCGATGCATCACGGGGAGTTGGGACAGGACCCAGAATGCCCTGCCCCCCCACCCCTTTCCCACAAGCCACAGTGCCAGAATGGGACGAGGTGCTCTGTGGGATAGCTGCCCACAATGCACCGCTCCCAATGCCGCTGCAAGTGCTGCAAATGCGGCCACGCCAGTGTACTTGCAGCTGTCAGTGTAGACAGACTGCAGCGCTTTCCCTACTGTGCTCTTTGAAGGTGAGTTTAACTCAAAGCGCTCTACATCTGTAAGTGTAGCCATGCCCTGAAAATACTACTGAGCAGCTGGGACAGAGCTGACTAACTGGGGAAGGGTAGTAACCAGCAGCTTGAGATCATACCAAGAGAATTCCACAGCCATGGGACATAAATCCTAAATTAACATCCCTCTCCCCCATCTACCAGTGCATGCAACCCAAACATTTCAGCCTTCAGGGAATGAAAATTATCATAATGAACGAACTTGACTTCACATTGATTTCCATTGTCCCAGCCAAGGCAGATGCTAAAAGTAAAAAAGGCCAAAAGATAAAATATAAACTGTAGTTTTAGAATTGCCAGTTTTAATATCTAAGGCATTATTAGTAACAGCTAAGAATGCACTACTTTAAAATAAGGGGATTTTTAAAGTATTCATTTTAAGATGTAAGCAGCTATGGGAAGCAGTAATATATAGGTTTGAGGACCAGCAGAGAGAATCCCCTTCCACATCCTGGGATTTTTGGCATCTTAACCTGTTTTTTGTTTCTATTTTTACTTTCCCTACTGCATGGTTGCTTTGGTTGTTTAAGTTAAACTGTATTGAGCAATTTTTTAAACTCCTGATAAATGTAGAACAACTTATCTGCCAAATAGATTGGCAGGAGCGTAGAATAGCAGCTCAGTGAGCAACCCTGCCCTGGGAGGTAAAAATATTACACAGAAATTAACAAATCAGAAGTCCATCTCTAGTCCAGTATTTGGTGCCTCATACTGTCCAGAAATGCATAAGACTATTCATTATTCATATAGATGTATAATTATTTTAGATATGTTACTAAGCTCCTGACTGGCTACAGGATCTTGTGGAAACAAGCTCTACAGCTTGTATATAAAAAGCTATTCACTTTATCATTTTCTTCTGCATAGTAAAGTTTTAAAACTGTATTAAGTCAATGTTCAGTTGTAAACTTTTGAAAGAACAACCATAACATTTTGTTCAGAGTTACGAACAACTTCCATTCCCAAGGTGTTTGTAACTCTGAGGTTTTACTATACTATATTTTCCCTTCTTGACCATCAACTCCACACTGAACAGACATTTTTAATGAGCTGTCCACATACGTAGCCCAGTCTTTTTCTCAAGCAGTTACAAATTATTTAGGAACTAGTAATACATTTGAGTAATTCAAATTATTCTTTCCAAGGTGCAATGAATTCATCTTTTCATCTCGCTAATTTAAGGGGTCACAAACCTTCTACAATAAAATAGCCCTGAATAATGTTCATATTTTGAGAACACCCTTACTATACAGTATTAGCAACCCCTTTATTACATGCTTAGTAGTTCAGTTCTATCATACAAAAGCAGTTCACGGAGGTTTCTAAGAGGCCTTCTTCCCACCATCTTGTCTGTTTTATTGCTTCCGATCTTCTTTGAAAAGTGGTAGCTGTAATTTATTATGGATTTCAATGTTTGGTAGTTATCTATTAGCAGAGGACGATGTAAGCCTTGTGGGATCAGATTCAGCTCATTAAAGCGGTTAGATTTATTCTCTAAAGCCTGCCATCTTATTTTTAAATATCAACAAGAGACAACTATCACACCTAATCATACAAATTTAAAAGAAAACAAGTCAAAGAAGCCAAATAATCTAGCTAGGGCTTCCTTACCACCAAAAGTAATGAGGCTAGGAGGTAAGGGTTCTGATATGAAGTTCTTATTAAAACACCTCAATTTGTTTTTTAAAGATCAGTATTTTCATGTAGTTGAGGCAGTCACAGAAATCTCCTGTGAGGCAGAGTATAAAAGACTTGTTTGATGACAGCTGCAGCTAGAGATTGAATCTAAGATTTAAACGAGGTGGATGTAGCTAATAAAATACAGGACCTCATCCCGTGTTACCTTTTCTTATAATTCTGACCCAATTAAAGTTACTGTGGAAATCAGAAAGGTATGTTTGGTTTATTAGATTCCAGGAGACATAATGATATTAAAAGGAATAAGTTATGTTACTGCTGCTGAGTCAATAGGTGTCACTCAAGGTAACTCAGGCAGCTATTATAAAGCAGCATGATCTTTCAACACTATGGATTTGGATGTCAAGTTTCCAATCATAGCCTAATAAGAGTATCATATTTCTCTCCCTCCCAAAATATGTGTATACAATTCTGCTCATTTATATTCATTTGTATTAATAATCACAACTGATGTTTGGATCAAGAATACTATCTTCCTTCCTCTCTCCCCAGAGACTGTTCCCTCCTTCCAGGTCAAAGTGTTTCTCAATAGGACTTAAATAATTAAAGTTGGAGTGAATCAGATAATATTTACAAAGTATAGGAACATAATAAGAAACATCACATTTTAATTCAAACTGAACAAATATACACTCTTGAAGGAGGAAAAAAATATTTTCTTAAAAAAAACATTTCAAAAGACACTCAGAATCTTATTAGCCCTGATTCTACAAACTATTAGGATTTCCAACAACCAGTGGGAACAAAATTTCTCCACCTTAGGTAACTGGAGTTCATAAGAAAGAAGAATCACACCACGCTTATCCTAGACCCTGTAATGTAAAACACTTTGAAGATTCCCCTGGTAGGGACAGAGAGTTGGGGGAAACAGGTACCGAAACCACCGAGACAGGAGTTTACAAGATTCCATGGCTCTCACTGCAAATGAGTCTTTGTCAAGTTTACAGTTTCCAACAAGTCAAAGAGTGGTCCCCAGTTTAAACATGTCTGTGCGGGACCCAAGGCTGAAGTACTGTGCATCAAGAACTCTCTTTACTCTGTCCTGGAGCTAGCTAGATTGGACTGGTGTGCACAGAAACATTTGAAATTCTCTGATCTTTCTTTTCATAATAAGGGCTAGTAATTAGCCCTAGTACTGGAAGCTTCGTTTGGTCTGAATGTCATCAAGAATCTGCTGTAGCTCCTCATCTTCAAACCGGCCCTCTAGGCTGCAAGATAAGAACAGTAATGATAGAAACAAGCCTCTTCCCTGTGCTTTCATTTTTAATATCCAGAATTTCCTCATGTTTCTACACCAGTGCCTCAGACATTTTTGGTACCATCTGGCATTGCATGATTTATCCAAAATCTCCACCTCCTCCTGTGTTATAATACACAGACAACTCTGAAGCCCCATGTTATAGCTCTCATGTGCCTCCACACTGAATTATGCAAATCAGATATCTTTCTCCCTCCACCTTTTCACTGATCAGTTTCAGGACATGACATTAAAAGGGTACAACACTCAGGAATGGGCAGGGCCAGGCATAAACACAGTTATCTGATTGGCATCATGTAGAATTGTACCTTTTAGGCCAGCCCACTGTGGCTGTGAAATACTGGATACAAAGAGGAAACAATAGGTCAGCTCAGTTTTCCCCTTATTCCTGCATCACAGAACCCATAAATCATAAAACACAGGACATAAATTCTCACCTGGGAATCAAAGCCTTGGCCTCCTCAGCTGTCTCAGGACACAAATTAGCCAAACACGCCAATTCAAATTTATGGAGCTTTTTCTGGAGCAACAAACTGCAGAAAGAGAAGATGGTGAGAATATAGGAAAAATGGAATAAAAAAAGCAGAGGAAAGGAAAAGAATGTAAAAGAAACTGAACTGATGACATGGTGCTGACAGATCTGTGAACAAGGAATGAGGATGAGAAAAAGGGCAGCATAAGTTGTATTTATTTTATTATTAATACAACCCCATTACTGCTAGTAAGAACAAAAAAATTACACACAATAACCCCAGGAGCCCCTCCCCCCCCAAAGAAAAAAGGGCTAGAAAAGTCCCTTGCATCTACCACAATCTGCTGTCATATAAATATTTGTACCAAAACAGCTCTGGAGGCCCTACCTCGGGCCTCTTGTTACCCACTCTACTACAGGGGTTCTCAACCTGGGTGTCATGACCCTTCAGGGGGTCACAAGGTTATTACATGGGGGTTCATGAGCTGTCAGCTTCCACCCCCAAACCCTGCTTCGCCTCTGGCATTTAAAATAGTGTTAAATATAAAAAAGTGTTTTTAATTTAGAAGGGGGGCGAGTCGCGCTCAGAGGCTTGCTTTGTGAAAGAGGTCACCAAAGCAAAAAAGTTTGAGAACCACTGCTCTAACAGAACCTCACCAAGTCTCTCACTTCCCCAGAAAAACATGACTGAGATCTCTAGAACAGCGGTTCTCAACCTGTGGACTGCATGCAGCCCAACTAGGACACAGCTGCAGCCCAGCTGTGTGCTAAAAATAATTTCAAAATTTGCCACACTGGTCAGGCAGGGGGTGGGGTTGGCTGAGGGGGAGAAAGAGTAAGGCAGCCTGCAGGAGCGCTCCTGCCAGCAGGGGCCTAGTGAGTGCTGCAGGGAGGCAGGGGGCAGGAAAATGGGTCTGTAGCTAGGTTTGGGGTGGGGGGCCTCTGGGTAGTGTGGGGTGCTCAGATCTAGAGTTTTGCTGGGGTGCTACAGCACCCACAGGCTTTACGTGGGGCTCCGCTGCAAGGGTCAGGTCTGGCTGCCTGGTCCCATGCAGGGGTCCAGGTCCAGCTGTAGGCCAGCTGGCCCCGCACAGAACGGGTCCCAGGTTCCGGCTGCCTGGTCCCGCACAGCAGGGTCCGGGTCCGGCCGCCTGTCCCCATGCAGTGGGGTTTCAGGGTCAGGCTTCGGCTGCGAAGGGGGGTGTCCCGCGTTCCAATCGCCTGCGTGGGGGTCCGGCATCTGGCCCTGCTGCAGGATCCAGCTGCCCAGTCCCATGCAGGGGTCCAGGCTACCCGGCCCAGCACCCAGGACTCTGCTTCTGGCCCCGTTTTGAGCAGGGGTGCCAGGTATAGGGGATTGTTGGGAGTTCTCAGCCTGTGGTTGAGAACCACTGCTCTACAGCAACCCTGCTCCTGGGAATAACAATAACTACCATGTTTCAACTTCATAATACAGCACACATATTACATACTAAATTCCCCAATAAAATCATCTTTCCTTGACTCTCCCACTCACCTGCGGACGCTGGCAATGGTCTCCCGGTTTTTGAAGCGGCTGAAGCGAGCCGTGTAGTTCAGAGTTTTCATGAAGACTTCCGAAAGCTCCTGCTCATCCTCAGCACTCTCATTCTGTTGTTTACGATGCTCAAGAAGCATGTGCACTTCTGAATTTAGAAGCGTCTCAGCAGTTTCAAATTCTGTATGCGAGTATCAGTGTGAGAGAAAGATAAGTACAACAACAAAGAAGCCAATTTCTATATGCTTTGTTTCGTGCTTGGATATAGCTTTGGGGAGAAGAAAAATGAACCACAGGTTCAGCTTTGACTGTGAAAATCCTGTACTCCATGACCTGGAAGCCATTCCTAATGAGACTGTAACTATAATTCCTCCAAGGCCACACAACTGGATTTACAATAGTGAATAGCACTCCAGTTATTTTTAACTTTCTGATCATACACACTTAAATTACCAGCCCTATCTTTTGAGCTAATCATATTTTTGTAATTAATATTACTCACTTGACACAAAGGTCCAAAATAAAAGCAAATATTAAAGGGGTAAAACTGAAAAGGCTTTTTAAAAATTGGATTTGTAACTTGCTTTAAAATAAGCTTGTTTTACTACTTGTTTTTTATCTCAGAAAAATCAGGAATGGCAAGTGTGATCTTCTGCGGTTTTGCCGGAGAGCTTCTGGGAGGTCTTAGGGATGTTTACTTCTAGCACCTTAATTAAAGGAGGAGGATGCAGAATCCTCCTTAACAAAGCCTTAACAAAGGCTTCCTTTATTAGAAATGTTATTTAGTCATTGAAATTAAATAGCCATTAATAAAAACAAAGTTTTAAACAGTCTGACTAAAAATTCTTTCCCCTCTCCATAGATCAACTTCTCTCTCTCAGCTCTTGGTCTGTAACCACTTCACCAGTTTGCTTGTCATCAAGAGTGACTACCAGAATAGACAGGACATGAATTTCTAATGCTAAAAAGCAAGTAGATTGCAAATATTTTGGGTCTCCATTTACATCAGAAAAGCAAAAAAGAGAATAAACCCAATTTTTTCCCTTTTCAGGACACCTTTAAGGAACAAATATAGCTATTCAAATATTAGTATCTTTTTCAGATTCAGAATATTTTCAGCAGAACCCACTGGGCAGTTGTAATCCCTGTTTCAAACCTTAACAGTTGGTTTCCAAAACAAAAAAATAATAATAATTTGAAAACATTCTCACAGGCAGCAATACCTTTGTGTCATGGACCACAGAGAAGAAAAAATAGAGTTCCTCACATCAAACCCAGGGATCATTTAATTGTGCCAGCTTGATACAGATCAGGGTTTTTTACATAAAGCTCTTTGTGGTAGAGACTGCCTCTCTGTCCTGTATTTGCACAGCATGGTACAATCAATACTAATAATACTCCTTTATACACTGAAAAGCATTATATAATGTCATTTAAAGAACACTTCAAAGATGTACTGGTTCTGCTGGAATCAGATGGCTGGCTACAACAATGATGATTGAGCAATTGTCACAGCTATCAGAGATTCCATAATTTTTTCTTTTTGAAATTACCCTGATTTTTGATATATGGGGATTTATAATGATCAACAGCTCGGGAAATGTGACTGAGCTCCCAAGTTAAACTCTGGGTCAGACAAGGGCCAGGAGGCCAAAACTCTGCAGCCAGATAAAGAATTACACCAGGAGCTTCATGTTTGGAGCTTTAATTCCCCAGAAGGCCAGGCACAGCACAGGTTCAAACCCCAATTTGCAGCCGGATTGTACTGATACGGTTGGGTGCAGTCAAGTGGCCCCCGATTTCCAGACTCTTCTTTCCCCCGGGAACTGTTCCTTTTATTTACAGGGAAACAGATACAGGAATGGGAGGAGGTAACTTGGGGTTCAACAAGCTGGAGAAGGCCATGTTTTCCCCTTGCGCCCCATCCCCCCGCTCGGTGGAGTCTCCCCCTCCTACTCCCCGGACCCCCCCATGTGCCCCCCCAGCTCCGGAGGGGCAGAATCTCCCTCTCCTGATCTCCACTCGTCCCCGCCAGCTCCCGGGGGAATCTCCCTCTCCTGCTTCCCGGGCTCCGTCCCCCGGCCCCGCGCACCTTTGGGGAAGACGAGCTGCGAGGCGTCCTCCTCCACGTCCGCGACCCGGGCCTCGCCGCCTCCGGCCGCCATCGCTCCAGCCGGCACCGGCTTCCCCGCCGGAAGCGAAGGCAGCCGCGAGCCCCCGCCCTCCTCCTGCCTCGCGGCTGCGCGCCCAGAGTCCGGAGTTCCGAGGCTCCCGCCGGGGGGCGCCGACGGGCGGAGCGGGCGCAGCCTCCTGGGAGAGCCGGCGTCTCCCTCCCACCCTTCCCCCAAGCCGGGCTGAGCGGGGCCAGGCCCCAGTTTGGGTCCAGGGCAAAAAGGTCCCTCAGCGTGTGTGGTGCGGCCTAGCCCCGGCCGCCATCTGCTGGGTGGTAGGCCCGGGCCCCTCAGGGCTGGGCTGGTCCAGAGGCAGGACAGAACTAACTCATTGCCAGTAGGGATGGCATGGGCAGGCCGAGTAGGGCCAGCTCCCCTGCCGCTGGACAATTTGGAACCAGGCCTTGGTGCAACCCCATCTGCAAGACATCAAGTTCTCGCCCCCCTCCAGCTCACTGCAGAGAGGACATTTCATGTTATTGGCCTCAAAACTCAGCATGGAGCCTGTGTGATCTTGTGTGGAAACTGCAAAGGAATCTTTCTCCTCCCTCGGCCAGAGCAATGACTAGTAGCTCTCTCAGCCCGTATGACTACTCCATATAAGCAACTAACTAACCCAGACACAGATCCACACAACTGTTGCTTCTTTTGGCAGTCACTTACATCCTACGGGGCAGAAATAACTGAGTGTACCAAAGACAACCTCTCAAAAAAAGCAAATCCCCACTACTTTTCTTGACATAGTTTGGTTCAGTTGCATAGGAAAAGGTCTTGTAATGCATTTGCTGGACCCACCACCCTTCTTGGTTGGTAAAAGCCACCAGTGAATCTATTAATCCACTTTTGACTAAGGTGAGAGGCAATGCTTTCAGTTACGGATATGTGCATTTGTCTGACCCTCTGGCTCAGGATCATGTTGATAATCTAACCACCTCTTGCTTATTTCTAATATCTCCTTCCAGGGCAAGATTATTGAGAAGATGCTAAGGAGCCAGTTGTAGCATCGTTTGGTATCTACCAGTATTTTAGACTATTTCCAGTTATGGCAGAGCTGGATATAGTATGCAGATACTAATGGTTATATTGATGATCTAACATCCATACCCATAGACCACATTGCATGTATCAATAGTCTCTGGCAGTTGGTTGGGAGATGCTGCCTGCCTGTCATAGGGTTGTCAACCCTCGGGGGTTGTCCGGGAGTCTCCAGGAATTAAAGATTGTCCTGTGATGAAATCTCCAGGAATACATCCAACCAAAATTGGCAACTGTAGCCTGTCCCTCCATTTGATGGTGAAATTCTCAGGGACTAGAAGGCAAGGTATTCTCAATGGTGGGTCTTAGGTTTTGGGACTCTCTAACATCAGAAATCAGGTTGACACAGAGACTGGGTACTAGTAAATTGTATTGCAAGACATAGTCTTACCACAAGTCTTCCTCCAATAGCAGAGCTAGAGAGTGGACCAGCTACATTCTACAGGAAAGCAAACATCCTAAGAAAGCCCACTATGAACAGCAGGTTTAATAGGGGAGTAGAAAAGAATTTAAGATTTTTTCATGGATAGAATTTTCATTTACATCAGTGGGGCCTAGACCCTACAGTGATAGGTGTGTTAGAAATAGAGCTAGCTATCTTACTGACAAATACTTAATAGTGGTAGAAAGATGGAAAAGGTTAGACAAACGTGTCAGGGATGGTCTGGACATACTTAATCCTGCCTCTGTGTGGCAGAATGAACAAAATGACCTGTTGAGGTCTCTTCTAGCTCTACATTTCTATGACAGCAAACAGAATGGCTTAATCCCACCAAGAATGTTTCTAAACTGATTTACACATTTTATCAGAGGTGGGCAAGCTACGGCCCGCAGGACCGACCTGCCCAGCCTCTGAGCTCCTGGCCAGGGAGGCTAGCCCCTGGCCCCTTCCCCACTGTCCCCCTTCCTCCGCAGCCTCAGCACGACGCATTGCCAGTGCTCTGGCCCACCACTCCTGCAGGGCAGTGTGGCAGTGGCGTGGCTGGGTAGCAGGGCGTTGCTGCTCTGAGCAGTATGCGGGGGGAGGTTGGATAAGGGGCAAGAGTTGTCGGGGGGGCAATCAGGGAACAAGGGGGTGTTGGATAGGCATGGGAATTCCGACAGAGCTGTTGGGGTGGGGGTGTGGATAAGGGTCAGGGCAGTCGGGGGGGGGTTGGATAGTTGTGGAAGTCCCGGGGGTGGGCTGTCTGGGGGCAGGGGGGGTTGGATAGGTGGGTGGGGTCCCGGGGGGCAGTTAGGGACGGGAGTGTGGATAGGTGTCAAGGCACTCAGGGGACAGGGAGAAAGGGGGGTTGGATAAGGGGTGGGGTCCCCGGGGGGGAGGCGGTTAGGGCACAAGGAGCACTGGATGGGTTGGGGATTCCGAGGGGGGCAGAAAGTGGGAGAGGGTGGATAGGGGGCAGGGGCCAGGCTGTTTGGGGAGGCACAGCCTTCCCTACCCGGCCCTCCATACAGTTTCTCAATGCCGATGTGGCTCTCAGGCCAAAAATTTTGCCCACCCCTGCATTATATGCTCTATAAAGGATCTTACTCCTGCGGGAATTCTGCACTACTGCGCATGCTCAGAATTTATGTCCCCCGCCCATTTCTTTGCTTCCCTGCAGAAAAATGACTTTCTGACAGGGAAGCAAAGGGAAGCCACAAGAGAGGTTATGAGTAGGCGACAGAACATGAGGAATTTCGTATCCAAGTAAAGCTAGAGAAACATTTTACCTTCTTAAAATTCTAAACTACCCAAGTTGGAGTTTAACTAGTTCACTGTGATTAATACCCCAAATTTTGTGGGGGAAATGCCTTGTGATGTTAAATTACCAGTAGTCAGGACCTTGATTTTAAGCTTCCTCAAAAAATGGAATCTCTTTACACAATGTCCCCTATTCCATGCCATGCCAGTTCAATGCCACAAGGGTGACAGAAGAGTGCCACCAAAAGATACCTAACAACTTTCTGGCACAGTTTTGTCTTTCCTGGAGCCCTTCCATTTAAATACCTACCCAACCTAATCCTGTTTAGTTTGCAAGATCTGATGAGATTGCTGCCCATGCTGTTATGACTTCATATGATTGTAACACAACCTTTTAAAAAAAAAAATAAAAGAATGGGTTGCTGTAATTTCTAAAGAATCAGAAGATTTAACTGTTCACCTGTATAAAAATGCGCTGCTTCCTACAGAATAGTAAGAGCAAAGTATTTAAAACTTGAAAAAGGGTAGGCTGTAAAGTTATGAATGGACCAACTCTAAATGTTTAAAGCGTTCCATCTGGATAAATGGATGAGGTGGAGAAACTGATTGGAAACTAGTTCAGATTGCTAAACAGTACAGGAAGGAAGACTGAATTAAAACACTGAAGGGAACATCTTGCAAATTAGACAATCTCTATTAAGTTTACAATGAAACAAGAAAAGATTCAATGCCAGTTTGATCAGCGAAGCTTTTAGAACGCACTTGGAATCACGGCGACTTCTCAGATAACCAATCTGCCAAGAGCACCAATCTTCTCAGAATAGTAGGTAGCTCATGTAGTTATGAATTTTGAATGGTTCTTGTCTGTGTGTCCTCTCCACTGAGCTATGTGGAAAAACAATTAACAGAAAGCCAGACACTTGTAAAGGTGTCTAGCTACAGCTGAAGAGGCTATAATGATAGGACCAAAGTGATAAGAATATTCTCAAGAGCAGCTTGCCTTTTTATTCTTGTAGGCTCCAATAAATATATTTCAAAATTAGATCAGTAAGTGTTGTACATCCTGTGAAGCAAATCAAAACTGATTCAACAAAAGAGGACAGGTGGCTCATCTTTAACATGTGCTATTTAGGGGAAAAAATACCAGTTACTGTAACAGTGGGTCTTAGGAATGGATTTAAAAATATTTGTAGCAAAGAGATGATGGTTAGAAAGAATGTCAGATAAAAGTGAGATTTCATATTCATTTGGAGGTCATATGCTAAAACAGAAACATATTCAAGGAAGTTAAAGAACTTACCAAATATAATTTACCAGTGAACTCACTGTTCCTATTGTTGGGACTTTGAGTGGAAAAAAACCCAGCTGATACGGACTGCTTTCAGAGACAGGATATTGAACTATATGGACCACTGGTCTGATCCAATATGGGCAATTCCTAGCTTCCTAACGTTTGAAACAAATTAGTAACCCACTTAGTAGCAACTAGCTGTGCTACCACATCTCACTGGAAGAAAAAAGGATCATCCAGTAGTATCCTGGCTTAATACAATTTGGGAAGTGTTGGTGACAGGAAAACTCCCTTATCAAAATAAACCAAAACACAGAAATTATTTTGAAAAGTGGTTTCCTTTTGTTGAATTCACAGGTAAAAATCTCACCACTCTAGAAGTCAAGCCCAAAGTTACTTGGTTTTTGTTCAGTAATTAGTGACAAATAGCAATTATGATGATCTTGTTTAATAAATGCCATTTGGTATTGTTATTGTTATGAAAACATTACCTTCTTAAAAGCAAAAACAACAGAGAGGGAAAAATAAGACGATGACAATATCTAATTCTTACAGATCTCTTTTTATCAGGTAAGCAACATATTAATTAGTAAGGCTTTTGATGACAACACATGACAGTCTCATAAGCAAACTAGGGAAAGATGGTCTAGATTAAATTATTATAAAGTAGGTATGCAACTGGTTGAAAAAACATACTCAGAATAGTTATCAATGGTTAGCTGTCAAACTGAGAGGACGTATCTAGTGAGGTCCCAAGGGGTCTTTTCTGGGTCTAGTGCAGTTTAATATTTTAATTAATGACTTAAATAATGGAGTGGAGAATGCCTATAAAATTTCTGGATGATGTCAAGCTGGATGGGGTTGCAAGCCCTTTGGAGGACAGGATTAGAATTTAAAATCACCTTGATAAATTGGAGAATTGGTCAACAAGATAAAATTCAGTAAAGACAAGTGTAAAGTACTAAACTTGAGAGAAAAATCAAATATTCAGTTACAAATCAGGGAATTACTGGCTAGATGGTAGTATTACTGAAAAGGATCTGGAGGTTATAGTGAATATTGATTACGAG